GACTGGGATTGGTCCCAACTTCCTCAATTTGTCTTTGGCCATGTACTTTGGAAATGGACGTTGCAGTGCAGCAAGAGTGCCATTTTTAGGATGGAGGTGGTCAGTACGTGCACCCTCCAATCCCAGCAAGCAGCCTATTCAGATCTTTCACCTGTGGCTGGTGACCCCAACTACATTGGTGGGACATCTGTACAATACTTATGGCTGTGAATAGGGGGAGGAAAACTCATATATCTCTTTCTGGGGTGGCCTCTGCTGCCACGCACCCGGGGCTGGGAACACCTGGGGGCACAAGTGGCTGAAATGAACTGGGGAGGGACGCATGAGAAACTGCCTCCACCCATCAGGCTACTGTGGCAATCACAGATTTGAGGTTGTCCCCAACACCACAGAACATTTCACTCTGACCCCAGCAGTGGTTCTACTCCCCCAAGACCAAGTCATTGCACTGGGTTACCCACACCTGTGTCTGTGCAGCATTCTGTGCCCCAGGAGCAGGCAGTCCAGTGCAGCAAGGTCAACAACCTCAGGATGGAGTAGGTCAGCACACACAGTTTTCAGAGCCAGAAAGCCGCCTATCGGGGTCTCTAGCCAATGCTGGCAATCCCACCATTTTTGGTGCGATGCCCTTGCAATTCATGCAGCCATAAAAAAGTAGAGGACTCGTACACCTCTTGTGGACACAGATGCATGGAAGCATCACCAGTGAGGCCGTCCAGGGATGACTATCACAGAAAGAGGGCATATCTCTTGGGGGCACAGCAGTCCGCCCACAGCCCCAACAACCTCGTGCAGGGCAGCCTACCCCAGCTGAGGAGATCCAGAATGTCCCAGTAACATTCTTAGGGTCACAAGGCCTGTCCACAACTGCAACACCTTGCACAGTGGTCACACCACACCAACTGAACAGATACAGAGGGCTCAAGCCTCCCTCCTGGGGGTCAAGGTTTCCATCCAAAACTGCTAATGCCCTGCCCAGAGTATCCCACTTCAACAGTTGTGCTGCAGACCATCCCAGTGTCCCTCCAGAGAGTAGAGAGCAGCACACACATATCCAGTGACCCCACCCAGTGTTGCCCACTTCAACAGTGAAGCTACAGAGTACCCCAACACATGTCCTGAGGGTACAGGGCTCTGCCCAGAGCCCCAGTGACACCACTGAGTCACCCACTCTAGCTGAGGGGCTGCTGAATACTCCTCCCCCCACCTCCAGCCTAAGGTCCTAATCCCAACCCCAGGAAACTCTGCCAACGGTCATCCACTTAAGCCGAGTACCTTCAGATCACCCCACTGCACCTATGAGGGGTGCCAGTGAGACCGCTCAGGGTCACCCACCTCAGCCAAGGAACGAATGGGCACCCAAGCACTTCTCTCAAGAGCTTGAGATCTCACCCATGACCATCACCAGCGTAGTTCAGGTATCTATCATCTCTCTCAGGGACAACTCTAATAACCAGTCTCCCTATGTGAACACAAGTCCTCACAGGTGCACCCAAAACCCCAGAGAGTTTAGAATTGAAAGTTTGGTTAAGCCACTCCCCTGCTTAAAATCCCTTAGACTGAAGATCAAAATCGTGAGGTTCTCCATGATCTGGCTCTGGCCTACCTTAACAGCCTTATCTTCCTCTTCTCTAACCTCAGCAGCCTTCTTTCAGTTCCTTGCACTTGCCAAGCTCCTTACTGCCTTGAACGGTCTTTGTGCCTGCTGCTCCACTCCCCCTTTCATAGCTCAGTTCAAACATGCCACCCTCGGGGTAGCCTTCTATGAGTCCCATCATCACAATCTCACCACCTGTTATACGATTTATTAATTATAGCAATGGTGATAATATTTACTGAGAACTCATTTATGTGCCAAGCACTGTTTCAGGTACTTTCCATATACTAATTTCACCCTTACTATAATTCAGTGAATACATTCTCAGTAAATATTTTTAAATGCATGAAGAATGAATGAATGAATAAGGATAAAAACCCTAGGTCAAGGGCACCTTGAAATTCTACAATTGTGTACTTTTCAGAAATAACTTTCTACTTCTAAGGATTTTAAAATAGTGATCTGCATATCCTAAGATCATACTATAAATAATAAAATGTCAAGTATTTGAGGGAAGTGATACCTAGGAGAGGTATGATTCCTCACAGCTTGGATAGCTCTCCTAAGAAAATATGTTTAATTGGATATGAAAGGGATAGAACATTAGTAATTAGAAAAGTGTGGGGCTGAAGGCCATATTAGAAGTATATGTGTGAACTCTCATACAGACAGAAGGTTCAGATAACACCTACACTAGACTTATTTCTCCTAGCCCCAGCTGGTACTTTGTGACAGCTATCATACAGGTGCCTGCATATTTTCTATAGTATTTTGTATCCATCTTTTACCTTTATGTGTAATTTTGTCCGGTACAAAGCAGATCTGAAAGATGTTCTTTAACATATTCAGTTCACAGAATCTAACCAGGACTTGGAATAAATTATCATCACTTAAAAAATTAAAATATTCTAAAAAGGAAAAGTTCCCATTAGTGATTATTTAGGATAGTCAGTCTCTTGGGTCCAAAGTCGTTAGTGAGCCCCAACCTATAATATTTTTGGCCTTAACCTACAATAGTGCCTGGAACACAACCAATATTTATTGAATTGAAATAAAGAAAAACCACTGTTTTGCAACCATTCACTTTCCTAAATCCTCTACTCCAATCCGAATGGGTTACATATTCATCACCGTGGTCAAAAGATTTCTATTTAAGTGGGAGTGCTGAGATAAGAGGCACAGGCATTTAACTTTTATTAGGCAGAATCATATTACTTTCCAAAATGGACAACAATTTACACCCCCACCAGTAGTATACAATGTTAAGATAGATATTAAGCCAACTCCCCTTTTAAATCTGTTTTAGTTGCTCAATTTTCCATATGGATCGTTCCATGGGGAAAGCATACTACATACATTTACAACACATACTTTATTTATCCTAAAGTACTACATGAGCTTTTTGTGTTTGTCTTAAGTGGGGGAAAGGGTATAGATGGTTTTAATGACAACGAAATCTGTAAGGGCACTGGAGTCATAGTTCATAAAATCACTCAGACTATAAATTCATACTGTCAAATTCCCAGAAAGCCTAATATGTTACTCTGAAAGAAGGCACACAATAAATAACTGTTTTTCATACCCACTGACTCCCAAAGGTCTCTTAAAATTTCGTTCTGCCTATTTTGTGATAAGACTACAACTATGCTGTGCTGCTTCTCTCACTTTATTACAATTTCATATTGAAATATTAGGTAGATGGTAATAACTTAGAAGAATCAGAAGGATTAACAGACTGATGATCATAAATTGCTGTTATACTTGGGCAATAAATATTTTTATTTAAATGTTAAAAGTCAAAGTCATAAAACTTTTTCATTATTGTAAATCACCAAAAACTTACAGCCATTCCTTTCCTGTATCATAAGTTCATAAAACTTTTCCCAATACTCTTTAAATGATTTTCTGTCTTTAGTTGACCTGACAGTCTTATTCTGAACACCACATCTAAACCAAACAATAGAACTAGAGAGTATTCTATGTTGCTCAAACAACAGTAATTTTAAAAATAATTTATCAGAGGTAACTGTGTTAAAAACATATGAATAAAATATCCATCAAGAAAAACAAAAGTAGAGCATGCAGAATTCTGGCAATAGCTCTACCATCTTTCTAGCAGTTGAGGTAGATGGCCAAATAAGATCACTACATCCATAAGTAGTCTATGCTAAGATTAACTTCTATTAAGACACCTTTAAGTCTTCTTAGAACAGGATAAAGACTCTAAATTCAGCAGGCCAATAAATAAATAAACTTATTTGTTAAGACAAATGAGGTGTTACAAATGACTATCTTCCAGGCAAGCAGATATCACAATTTGGGATCAGAAAGGTATAATAATATATATCTTCCTCATAGTCGTAGTGAGGAGCCACCATGAGTTCATGCTCAATAAGAAGCCCAAGTGGATACCAAATAGAGTTGAGAATATAAACGTAATGTTTTCATTTCAAATAATTCTGACTTAAATCATTTCCCCATTGATTTGAGACTTGAGTCCATCTAGTGAGGCTAAAGGAAGATAAGTTTTTTTGATTTTTTTTTTTTTAATCTTGGTCTTATTCTATGCATATATGTTCTAAAGGGGTTGCTAGCCTTTTTGAATGCTAAAATCAAGTAAAAAACTTAGAAACTCTGGTGCCAATTGATCTGTTCAACCATTCAATCATTCATTTACGGATTCTTCAGCCCACCTATTTGTCTGTCCATCTATCCATCCACCTACCTATTTATCACAAGGTGTAAACCGTTAAGACTTAATGAGCTCTTAAGCATGCAGCAGGCCATTAAAACATTTTGCTTTCTTCCACCATCACTTTCCAATTCCTGATCCTCTGGAACAACCACAGTACTGGGTAAAAACTTTCTTTTTTGTTTAAATGTATGAGTGGAACTCAGTGAAGATTAACTGTCAGAATACAAGGGTACTTCAAAAAATTCATGGAAAGATTCATAGTATCTTTTAATTCTATTTTTCCACGAACTTTTTGAAGTACCCTCATTTTCATAGGACATGTTCATTTTGCAAATCGATTTTGCAAAGTTTAATTACTGAGTGTTTATTTCACCTGGAATATAGGGGTCACCAAGTCATATATGATCTAAAAGAGTTCTACTGTAGTCCTGCTTACATTCAGTATTAATCTCTAATTTTAATGTCCAGAGAAACATCGCCAAACTTGTGTCTAACAAACTCACTTTTTCCTTACACTCTCAAGTCTTTGCACGTGCTGTTTGTACCTCTTCCTGGTGGTCCCTCCCTACCACCTTTCCCATTTTTTTCTCTTCCGATGCAAGTTTGGATGCCTTACAAGCTCCTACTCATCTCTGAAATTTAGAAAAGTGACAAAACAAAAAAGTTACCAAAGTTAGGTTAAGGAGGGCGAACATAATGAAATCTCACCTGTATCTCGTGCATGTAGCATTCTGACCTGATGGAGCTACTGGTTTAAAAGTGATGCGTGGGGAAACCTGGGCTGACAGCAGAAATCCCAAGGCAAGAATAATGAGTGCTACCGTGGTACCTTAAGAAAAAAAAAAGTTTTACATCAGAAAATAGTTGACGACATTCTTCCAAAGCAGACTGGGTTTGGTAAAACATACCTCTGAAAAAAACCTTGATCTATCTTCATTGGATTAAAAATAAAATGCTCTTAATATATAAACAAATGATCAGAAAAACTCACTAGTATATTCATTGTGAGACATGATGACAGCGAAATTCAAGTACAAGCAAATACATTTGATAGCCAAACAGTAAATTGCTAATGATTTTCTAAAAAAACACCTAGGATTGCTGACAATTTCAAAATCAATTAATGTAACCAACATTATTGAGTACTTAAACATGTCAGAAGGTATTAAAGAAAGACAACAGATTTATATCAAGTGTCCCTTTCAATGCCAAGAAAATTGTTCTAATTGCATTTGATCAAGACCTAAATCAGTAAACTAAAAAGTAACAAACTGTTTATTTCTAAAGCAGTCGAAAGAGCATTTTTTATTAAAAAGGAGTAGCATTTTTTGAAGACTTCAAGGTGCCAGAAATGATATAACACATGTGGTATAAAATTATTCATAGCATTTTCATATGTTTTTAAATATTTCCATCTGTAGTTGCATCATACTCTTTGATTCTGAATACTATTTGTGCTTTCTTTTTGCCTTGAACAATCTTGATAGAGATTTGTCTATTTTATTAATATGAAGGTACTTCAAAAAATCATGAGAAAATAGAATTAAAAGATAATAATTAAATAATTAAAAGTTCTATGAACTTTTCTAAGTATGCTTGTATGTATTAAGTCATTTGTTTTGTTGATAATCCTGATTCTTTTTGCTTTGTGTTCTTTTTCATTAATTCTGCTATTATTGGTTACCTTTTTTAATGGAATAGTTCCCTCTTTTTCCTATCCTTTCTTATTTTTTTAATAAATATTAAGGCACTTCAAAAAGTTTATAGAAGAATGTAATTAAAAGATAATGCTAATGGCTATAAAACTATGCTATCAACCCTAAGTGAATCATCGTGCAGCATATGCATGTATTGAAACAATACACTGTGCTCCACAAGTATGTACAAGTAAATGTTAAAATAAAAATGTATATAAAAAAAGTTTTAAAAAAGATAATACAAGTCTTTCCACGAACTTTTTTTCCCTCCAAGTTATTTTTTAATGGATAAAAATAAGATACATTTTCTATCCTAATTTTAAAAATGATAAATTATACTGTTGCTCATCTTCCAAATTCTATAGTAAGAAATGAATCGGTCTGGAATGATACTCTTCATCTGTGAAAAAGCAGTAGATGCACTCAGGGTCTTCCTCAAAAAGTTGAACTTTCTGCAAAAATGCTCCCAAAGCTAGCTGAGGAGAGGAATCCAAGAGTCACATTTTAAAAAATTTTTAATTTAGTTTTTTTCATTGTACATGTTTATGGGATACAGTGTGTTGTTTCAGTACATCCATATATTGTATAATGATTTAATCAGAATAGTCATCATATCTATCACCTAAACATTTATCATTTCTTTGTGGTTATAATACCCGAGATCCTCTTTTCTGGCTATCTTGAAATATAATAATACAATATTATCAGCTACTGTCACCCTAGAGCACCAGAACTTATTCTTCCTATCTAACTCTACTTTGTAACTTTGTACCAGTCTACCAACCTTTCCCTGTCCCCACCTCCCCCTCCCTTTCCCTGCCTCTGGTACTTTTTGAAGACCCCTCATATGCTTAAAAGTATATAAAAAAAAGAAGTGACGTAACACTTGTATTTGTCTTTCCTGTTGGTATTTGGAAGTGGAATATCTGTCTTTGATTTTAAGGTAGAGGAATGGTGATTATGCATATCAGTTAAATGCCCAATTTTTGTGTTCCTGATAGATATCCTAAAACAAGAAAGTTTACAAATTACTGACTATTGTTCCAGCCACAGACCTGGTGAGGATAAAAGAAAAGGGTCATGGGAAGAAAAGAGAAAGAAAATACAACTGCATTAATTTGTACAATTTATTTGAATGAGACAATATGTTTAAAATATAGAATAAGGTCAGTTATATAGTAGTAAAGTTTTTATTACTTAAACTGGGAAGTAATTAAAGATATGACTACAAATATTATTAAAGGAATGGATAAAAGAAGAACTCTGGGAAGCACTAAGTAAGTACTCGGGGATTATTTAATAGGTAAGATGTCTGTGTTTAAGATATACATGTGTCAAGTCGAGCACTGTGGGACAGAGGTGCTGTTGGAATCAGAAGTCTGATGGTCTGCTGTTTCTTGACTCTGTGATCTTGGGCAAGGCACATAACCTTTCCGTAATTCAATTTTGTCTTCTGTAAAATGGGCTAGTAAAAAAACTCACCTTACAGAATTATGGGAAATTTAAAATGTTGTAATTTATTTGAAAGATTTTTGTAATGCTATAAAATGTTAGTTACCAAATTATAGTTATCATGAAGCAGCAGCAGCAACAGCAGACTTTCAAAATAGTTAAAAAAAAAAAAAAAAAGTTGAAGAAAGGGAAGAAGCCTTGAAGGGAAGATCAAATCTATTTTTGCCAAACTGGGCCATTAAAGCCATAAAGCTAAAATCATGGTTTGTCTTACCACTGTTGGCTTAAAATTTAAACCAGAGCCAGGAATAGTTTGAGCCATTACTTTTCACAACAGGCTATCAAGCCCTGAACTGAAGAACAGAAAACAGACATAGTAGGTCTGTTAAGAAAATCTCCCTCTCTCCTCAAACCAAACCAAACCAAACCAAACATGAGTTTTACTGTTGATCTGTTTAACAAAGAACCTGAGTCACTAAGTATTTTCCAAAATTACTTCCTTAGTTTACTGTCATGGAACAGGTAAGATTTTTTTTTTCATCAGAAACTTTTAAGATCTTAAGGAAAGATGATACCCTTTTTCTAATAATACTTATTAAATAACCTGTCCTCATGATAAACCATAAATGCTAAGATGGTGTGCTGAGCACATACCCAAATAGGTCCAATTCTACTGCCTGGAATATACAGATCCCAATAAGCACTGGATGAATGTGGATGGACCATAGTACAATAATTTTTTGCAATGTTGGTTATTTTTGAAGAAAACAAACAAACAAAAAAATGTTAAGACTATCCAATTGAAATCCTGGGGTTAGTATAATATAAATATCCTAGATGAGAGTTCTGCAATATATTTCTTGCATCTATCTCCAAAAAATCCAACTAACCAGCAAAATATGGAGAATGGACCATCATGGATACACAAAACTCCTAAACGAGTGAAAGTTAACCCTTCTTAAGTCAACATTTATTTTTACTTTAGCCTATTTTGGATAGAAATGTTTTTAAAGCCAGTACTATACCTTTACCTTTTTTATAACACACAGCAATGTTTCTCAATCCTGGCTTCCTATTGGAAACAAATGCCTGGGATGTACCCCAACCTCTGAAGCAGAATCTCCAGAAGATGGGAGTAAGATATATGAGTTTTAAAGAGCTCCACAGGTGATCGTGATGCCCTGATAGGGTTAAAAACCCTTATGATATAATAAGTCCCTCAAGGGATGAGACTGGTGTCCTAAATGACTTTATGAAATAAATTTTAAAATCATCACCTAATCCTGTCATCTATTCATATACCCTTAAAGCATAAAACTACTTGAATTTACCCTTTCCCTTCCATTTAACAATTTACAGATGCTTTGTAAGTCACTTATTAGAATTCAAAATTATCATAGTTATTGTCAAATGATTCATTACTGCAACCTAGATTTGAGTCTAATACAGGAAGGCTTCTGAATAAAAGGATTTTCTCCAGTGTAATGTGGCACATTCTTGGCACATTCTATTTCAAAGGACGAGTCCCTGTTAACCAAGTACATTGTAAGATTTTGGAATTTTGATATAATTTTTCTAGTACATATATTCCCCACAGAAAGTGAAGTGTGTTAGGTAAATAACATTCTCAAAAATATGTGATGTAGTTAGTTACATTAACTACCAAATACAGGACTTGGATTATTAGTAAATACTCAAAAAAACAAAATAGTTTCCTTTGCCATGACTCTCCTAGAGCCATAGTTCTCACACTTTGTGTACATGAGTATCTCTCGGGGAAACTGTATAAAATGAACATACTCCAGACCCCATCTTATCTTCAGAAATTCTAATTTTAGTGAATCTGGGGTAGGGCTTAAGGATACATATTGTAAAATAAGTACCTTTGGTAATTCTGATGGAGATAGCCTGTGAGTGATGTTTTCAAAAATACTCCACTACCAAAACACATGGGGGGAGAAAAACAGTGCTTCTGGCTTTCTGATTTATTACCAACAAAGCTACCTTGATATACAAGTTCCACTACTAAAAGAATCAAGAGGTTATCATTAAATTTGTAATATTTACAAAAAAGACCAGTTTTTTAAAGCTTTGAAAATATTAAAAGTCAGAACAAAACAAAATGTCTCACATTTAAAATTCATGGACTACATATTTTGCATTTCTATGTATAAAGAGTTTCTTTGTCCAGGCTTAAGTAGTTTATTTGTAGTGATTTCTGAAGAATGAACACCTATTCAAAAATTATTTTGACATAAGATTTTTCATTATTTTAAATCCGAAATAATAAAATAAATCATAAGAACACAAAATGAGGAAAAATACTGAATCAAAGGTTTAAAAATTCTAGGCTGTAGCCAATTTAATTTATGAAATTTAAAACAGAACAGTGTTCTAACAGTACTATTAGCATATCAAATATACACCTACATAAAAATGAATAAAACAAAAACATATTGAAATTAAAAAATGACTAACAAAGAAGCAATTACTATTGGAGTGCAAAAGAAATTTATTGTGAGGGTGACACTAGAGTAATATTAATAAACTAGCAAGGCTGTTTAGCAGTACATTTTCTGAAGGTGTAAACTTCCATTGGTCATTATCTCCTAGTGGGACCTATTCAATAAATTAAGAACAAGAACTGTAAAAATAGCATTATTTACATCTATACATACAGGCAAAATAGAACACCTATGAAAAAAAAAAAAAAAAAAAACAGGCCTTCCACCTCCTAAACCACTGTAATATTCACTATATCACTTTGTGCTATGTGGCAAGGAAATCAGATGGAAGGTGTCTCTCAAGCTAGCGGAATCACTGTATAGTATTTGTAGTGAACAGAGTTGAGGTGTGGGTGGTTTTGGCTGAAAAGAAAACAAGGCAGGAAAGAAAAGTGCCTATAGGTTGCTTACAAGAAGCAGCCCCTTAGCTCTCTTGGTTCTTCCCAAGTAATTTTCTTAATACTCAATTCAAATACTATTAATACTCAAATATTAATTCCCCTTAATAGTCAGGGATGGGCTCTGGTTATCCGTGGGGCAGAAGACCCACACTAAGAAACGAAACATGACATCAGCTAGAAGCATTCAGGAAAGTTCTTGGATTATGATGATGGAGGCTACTTTCTCAGTGTACAGTCACTCTTTGTCAATAATAGTGCTGTGATAGCTAAAATGTTCTGAGTCCTTTACTATCTGTGTCAGTCAGTATTTTCAATGCTATAGATGCACAAATGTGTTAAATCCTCATTACAACCCTATAAATAGAGACAATAATCCCAAGTTACAGATGAAGAAACAGAAGTTTGCCCAAAGTCACACAATTCAAACCCAAGCAGTCTGGCTCTATATCAATAATGACTCAAAAATTCTGCAGAACTGATAATAAAGTGTTTTATTGTAATACAACAAATGAAGGCACACAGGCTGCTAGAAAAAAATGTACAAGCAGCAGTTTTCCCCAGATCTCAAAAGCCAAATCCCAAATTTAAAAAATTAAATTACTTAAACTCTTTTAAAAATAGACCTCTTGAGGTAGCAATATTCTGGGGCTCTTTCGAAAAGGAAGGGTGTCCATTTAAAAATGTGAAAGTAGCTATTATCTCTTCCTTCAGTTGACCTGAAACTCAGGAGTCAGCAAACCCTATTTCCAGCCCACTGTAGGGATTTATTTTTAGCATATCACTGCCAGATGTAATTTATCCTTTTGTTGAGATTTACCATCCTAATGAGACAGCCCAATTCATTGCTGGATAGCTTACTGTTAGGAATATTTTTCTTATATTAAGTAAAAATCTATGTCTTCATAACATCTATGATCTGCTAGAATAAGGCATCTACTAGGCTTTCCTTTAGTCTTTTCTCCAGGCTAAACATCTCCGGTTTCTTCAACAGGTTTATACAGGTATGGTTTTGAAATCCTCACTTGTTCTCAGCTTTCTTCATTCACCCTCTTACTTCCCTATGTACCTTGGCTGTTACAATCACCTTGCCACTGAATCAGACAATCTCTCCACCATCTCTCTGCTGACACTGCAGTTCAACTCACATTATTGGACTCAAGGGCTCTTGCTGCTAAGGCAAGAACAGGAGGCGGAAGCATTCCACTCTTCCTTCTGGAGTGAGGGGTGGAGGAGGGTATGTACTCCCAATAACTGAGTTTGGAACTCAGAATGTATTTTCTCATTAAACTCTGGGACAAGTGCCTGGAACAGTCCTATTATATGACTGTTTTAGGTATAATTTGGTTAAAATAGAACTCCCTAAATGCTGCCCTGGAAACTACATTTTAGTGGAAAAATGTATTCTTATTCCAAATAAACTTATAAAGGAGCTATTAAAGAACAGCTAATTGATAAGTAGGAATGTGATTGTATATTTTTAAAAAAGAATTAGAAAATTATATGATGCAACCATGTGAAAACAACATCAACAATGGGTTCCATTCTGTCAAATGAAGTAGCCCTTGTATTACAGAGAAATAATAAATAAAATGGTCAGAATTTAAAAACAAAAGGTACTTTAGAGTAAGAAAGGTTTTGCCTTATTTAGCTATCGTAGAAAACACACAACCAACCAGAATTTACCCTACAACAAAGCCCTATTTCAAACACAAAAACAGTGTGTCCCTGCTTTTTGAGGAAATTACATGGTTCTAATACTCTACTGTTGAAAGAGCTTTGAAAAAAAAATGCTCCAAACTTATTTCCATATTATTCCACATTTAAGAATATTACATATGTTAAAAAGTGAGTTTCTGAATATCAAGTTTTTCAAACAAGGACAGAACAAAAAACAATTATTCTTTCCACTTTTGTACCTTTGAGCAGAACTCAAAATAACAGAGAACGTTACCCTCAATAGATCCAAAGTGTTCTTACAATTTGTTTCTAGTCACATATCCTTTTTAAAAAGCTCTTTGTTTTATTGTCTAGAAGAAGTCTAGTTTTATATTTTTTGGCTAAGAAATCAATCTCAGAAGTGGTGTCAGTACTGTATTTTGGAAGGTTGACTCATCATCATTAGAAAAAAGCTAATAACTGAATTCTCCATCTGAGCACCTACCTGCTAGACTACCAAAGGTAAGCTTTCTGCGGCCCACTTTCTCAACAAGCCAGACTCCCACGAGTGTGAAAATGAAGTTTGTGAAGGCTGTGACTGAAGCCAGCCATATTGCAAGTCTATCATCTTCAACACCTGACATCTGCAGGATGGTGGCACTGTAGTACCTGCAAGGAAGAGAATAAAACAATTGCTGTTGAGAGTTATTCAAAGAAACAGAATTATTCAGATAGAAAAAGACCCAGCCATTTCAAAAGAAAACAAACATGAATAGCTGCAGTAATAACATCAGATTAATATGGGAACTCATGAAAGCTGTTTAAAGGATCACAATATATAAACTGCATTCAGATCAATTTATTTTGAGCTTTGTATAATCAAGGAAAGAGGACAGAGGGCTTCCAAAGTGAAATGTACCCCACGACGAAGGACAGTGGCAACTGCTGGTAGTTTCATTAAAACTATCAGGGATAAGATCTAAGTCTATGAAATCAATTAGAAATCATCATACACTGTGAATTAATGTCCTTAAAAGAATAAAGTGACTCACTGCATATAATAAAGAAATGTGATATAATGGTAGAAATCTGGTATAAGAATCTCTTCAAAGAAGACGCAAGGAATAAGAATGTGTCAGAACGAATCTGACATTGTGCGAGGAGATGAGAAGCTGATGTGAGGTACATGCCAACGGCTTTGTGGTTCCTGGAGAAGTGTACACTGGTGAGGTAAGTCTCTAGCACAATCAGTATGATTAGGATCTGTAGACTCATTTTGTGCTAAATGAATTAATTCACTGGAGATTGGCTCTTGAAAAACCATAATGCCAGTTTACGGATGTACAATGGAGGATATGTCTGGCACATTTAAAGATGACAAATTTCTTGCAGACGTTTCTTTTCTGATGAAAAGATTAATAGCTATATCAGCTGATGACTTTAAAGTCGACCTGAAAACAAAGAAAGCAAAATATTCCCAGTGAATCACTGATGAAACGTGATAGAACTAAAATCCTAAAGACACATTCTGAATAGCTTTGCCTCGCTTTTCCAGTCACTCTAAAAAACAAATTAACTTTACCCAAATCCAACAGTGCGTATCCAAGCAATATGTTAAATCAAGTTGGACGTTTCCATAGTTGATTTCCATAGGAAAAATCTACAGTTTCCAGGCATTTAGCAACACCTTCATAATATTTCAAAAAGAAAATCTGTTTTAAATATCTTTAAGTCTCATTGGTTCATCAATGGTTTCTGTCTTTTTTTTTCTTTCTTTTTAAATTTTTTTAATATATCATTACATTTGGGTAATGTTCCATTGTTTAAAAATTCTGTATACTATTTTTAAAATTAATGAAGTTTCTTATGCAAAAACTAACACCAACATGAACTCATTCATCTCTACAAAAGTGTTTTCCTTTTTAAAATTACTAAACCAAACTTATAAATTGCTATGTAGCATGAAGGGTGTGTTTTACTGATCACACTAAAAATTATGCCAACCATTTGAAGACTTTGAATTCTAACAGCTGTTGTAAAAAGAAATTCCCAGTGGATTTAATCCCATCATCATGAAAATTGTGAATGTTTTGCAGTCAGGGTATAAAATGATGATAAAAACTATGAAAACAATTCCTTCCATCTGAATAGTGTTTTACAGTTTCCAAGTTCCTACCAAACATGTTTGCATAAAGATCTGTGTAGCAAGGTCAAACCTATATGTAACCACTAAGAAACTAACATGCATATCAAATCTTAAAAGGCAGAAAATGGAAATGCTGAGAGAAAATTCAAGAATTTAAAACCAAAAGAATTTGATACTTGCCATGCTACTAAATCCCAGTTTTCTCAATGCCTTAAGAATAAAAACATAAATTGCAGAAAATAATTTTTCCAAATAGAGTCATAAGAAAATGAAACAAAACAAAGAGGCTATTTTGATGTTTTCATTTTCCATACAATAAAATCATGCCATGTAATGTAACATATTCACAGGATCTGGGGATTAGGACATGTACATCTTTGGGGAAACTATTACACTGCCTAGCACTGTAAAGGTGCGAATAAGCAGTAAAATAAACAAAAAGCCAAGGATGAGAAGTTGAGGAATGAAAGACAAGAACGTTCACTTAAAAGATAATCAGTTCCATAAAAAAAATCAGGCAATAACTATTTTCTTTTATAGTGCAGGGGATGACATATCTAGATCAAAATAATTCACAAACATTGTTTATAAGAGTCAGGTTATGGAGTTGTGGACAGATACATTTAACTTATATTTTAAAATGTGAGACTTCCAATATATTTCACAAATAATGATATCAGCCAACAATTTAAGTGATGGGCCACCCCTGTTTTTACAATCTTCTAAACCTTTATGTAGGTAGTTTGAAGTTTCAAGGGGCTGGGTATTCATTCAAAAGTTACACAAAGCATATGAAAGCTTTCTTCATAAAAGAACAAGAACAACTGAAAAAGGCTTTCTTTTCTTTTTAGACTCAAAGCAGGAATGCCTTCTCTTTTCAGTCATTTCATAATCTCTCTCAAACAAACTACCGTCTTCTTCAAAGATTCCCTGGGCAACCTTTGGTCATCTCACACATACCATCTCTTCCCCATAGTGAAGTTGAAAGGTTCATAACTCTGCAGACATTTAAGAACAGCAAAGACTGGAACTGTAGATGCATTGCTATCTTAGAGATTATGTGACACCCAGCTTCCAGTCCCAAATTTTAAATCTGACTAAAACAAAATAGCTCTAGAAAACATGCAGGCTTTGGTAATGACAATATATCCTAATGATGACTTTTAAATAGCAAGAAAATAATAAACACGAGTACTTCATATGCTTAGCAAAATACATGTATTGAGTTCCTATTTGAACAATGCATTTCCTAAGAATTTCTGAAAAAGCTATCTTTTTTAGCTTCTTGAGGCAATTGCCTATCTTTTTCACTATTGTCAGTATTACAGAGTTAACAACAAGAAGTAGGTACTCAACAGTTGTTGAATTTATTGAATTTATCTACCACAAACTTTCAGAAAGAAATAACTTACAATCAAAAACACCTGGCAGACTTGCTAGAACAAAAATTAAAGACTGATAAGAGGGAGAAATAGAGGTAGACGATGAAGTTAATTACATGAAAGCCTTCGCTGCATTATCACTACAAGTTAGCTCTAAAATTCCTGGCAGCCACAGCAAATTAGTAAATGATAGTTTTAACTGTTTTGACAAAATAAAACATATCAGCTCATAATAAAGATAAACTTTTTCTGATTTGAAACTATAATTGCATGAAAATGAAACATACTCTTCCTGATGAGAGCCAGTCTAGCAGAACTGCTAAAATTTAGTCAAAACTGTTTTGATTTATGTGGCATAAAGGTGATATGTCCCAGCAGTATTACAGACAGCTTCCAAACATAGTCATCTAGGAACCTTGCCTTACTCAATGGTCTTATGAGTCATATCCATATTGGGATATAGACCAAGTTATATGAGAAGACTTGAATTTATGGAGTAGCACGTTGACTATAAGCCCTGAAAGATATCCATTATCTAAGTTATATTCTTTGGCTCTTTTAGCTCTTAGCATTATAAATATCTTTTATTTTTGGTACCATATGCCAAAGTACATTGACCACAGAATTTAATTAATTTTTTATTGAAACTTATTGTTTGTACATATTTATAGGGTACAGAGTTATACTGCAATTCATGTGTACGATGTATGATGAACTAATGAGGGTAATTAGCATACTCATCATTGCATAACTTAATCATTACTTTGTGATGTGCAAATTTATCTCCTCTCTTCTAGTCATTTGGTAATATGCAGTAAGTCATTGACAAGTATAGATTCTGAGATCAACTGTACACTAATAAAACTTATTTTTTCTACCTGTAATTTTGTGTCTATTAATGAGCCTTTCAGTATCCTCCCCCTTTCCCACCTCTAGTAACCACAGTTCTCTCTCCTTTTAAAAGTTCAACTTATTATTAATTTGTTTTATTGTTTGTTTTAGCTCCCACATATGAATGAGGACATGCATTATTTCTCTTTCTGTGCTTGGCTTATTTCACTTAACATAATTTTCTCCAGGTTCATCCACACCACTGCAAATGGCAAAGGGTACTCCATTGTGTACATATAAAACATTTTCCTTATACAGTCAACTGCTGACAAACATTTAGGTTGGTTCCAACTCTTGGCTATTTTGATTTGAGTTGCAATAAATATGGAGGTGCAGGTGTCCCTTTGAATAATGATTTCCATCCCTTTGGGTTTGTACCCAGTAGTGGGATTTCTGGGTCATATGATAGTTCTATCTGTACTTGTTTGAAAAACCTCTATATTGGTTTCCATAATGGCTGTACTGATATACAATCCCACCAACAAAATACAAGGGTTCCCCTTTCTCTGTATTCTTGCCAGCATTTGTTATTTGTTGTCTTTTTTATAACAGCCAGTCTAACTGGGGTGAGATGATATCTCAATGTGATTCTGATTAGCATTTCCTTTATGATTAGTGATGCTGAGAATTTTTTTCATATACCTGTTGGGCATCTGTATGTCTTCTTTTGAAAAATGTCTATTCAGCTTCATAGCCCATTTTTTAATTGAATTATTTGGTTTTTTACTGTTAAATTGTTTGGGTTTCCTGTATATCCAGGATATTAGTCCCTTGTCACATGTGTAGTTTGCAAGTATTTTCTCCCATTCTGTAGGTTGTCTCTTTGTTCTGCTTATTGTTACCTTTGCTGTGCAGAAGCTTTTAAGTCTGATAAAATCCTATTTTATCCTTATTTTCTCTTTTGGTGTCTGTCCTTTTAAAGTCTTATTCAGAAAATCTTTACCTAGTCCTACATGTTGGAGCATTTCCCCTGTGTTTTCTTCTAGCAGTTTTATAGTTTCAGGTCTTACATTTAAGTTTTTAATCCATTCTGACTTGGTTTTGTATATGGTGAGAGATAGGGGTCTAGTTTCACTCTTCTACACATGAATATCCAGTTTTCCCAAAACCATTTATCGAAGAGGCTGTCCTTTCCTGAATTTATGTTTTTGGCACCTTTCTCAAAGATCAGTTAGCTGTAAGTATGTGGGTTTATTTCTGGGTTCTCTATTCTGTTCCAATGGTCTGGTGTCTATTTTTAGACAGTACCA